TTGCAGTTTCACAATTATTGCGCTAATAAATAATTTATTCCTTCAGATTCACTGAGTTTTATGTGCCGGAAATGACCGACGCCCACCAGATAGCCTTGGTTGTTTCTGCTTATCTTCCCTCGATGAAGTCAGCTGCTGTCAGTAACTTGGTAAACTTCTATCTTCAAGCAAAACAACTCTATCCGATGAGCTACAGGTAAGCTTCCTTTGCGTACAAATATCCTTTTTGGGGTATCTGCCAGTGCTTCATTGCAGCTTGCGAACCCTGTGCCGTGCTCTGATGTTCGCATCTGAGAATATGTTTGGTAATGAGGATCGCTCATTATATGAAGCGGTAAGTTTCTGTTCACTCTAGGTGAAATAGGGCCAGAAAACCCTAAACTTGGCTATTGCCAGAAGATTTTATAAATAGCTATATTCCAGATATGTATGGCTTTTCTCACCAATCTTGATGCCGAAGCTAAAGAAAAAATGCGGGTCAGAATTAGGCAAACATTTAGAGTAGCGACCAACGTTCCTGTCGGGCCACCCTATGGCAATACTGAAAACTACGTTTCGGTCAGTTCCATCTTGGAAAGGCTTGGAATTTTTGTATGTTTTTGATCGCAAAGGATGAGGATAAGGGATAGAATCTTCGCCGGAACTCCCTTCTCGAGATGCGGTACATTCTACTTCCACTGATAGTTTTTCTGGCTTACTGAGTGCGACGTGGCTCATGCAATGAATTTTGAGGACCAGCCAATGTACAGTTCACTGGCTTCAGTCCTTCCCATACGAAACTGGAGGGGGGGGGGTAGAGTTCTTGATTGGCCTAGGTGGGAGCCGATTCGGGATTTGATTGCCGGGCCGTGGTAATTCCGCCTCATTTCAGATCATAAAGATACAAAAATTTCAAGCCATAGATGTCATATTCAAAGACAGTGCTAAAAGTGAGTGTTATGACACACTTGATCGTCACATTATTCTACAGGTAGAGGGATACTGGATTGAGCGTGGTACGGAGCTTCCTCGCGAGGATCCAAACTATGTTGTCACGAAAACGGTAAAACAGAATCTCGCTGAAATTGCTCGCATCACTTCTAGTGGAAGGTAATAAAGTACTTCTGTTCCATATAACTCTGTTTGAGTTCATTTTCATTTAGGTTCCCTATTTTGTTGGAAGGCGAAACCAGCTCAGGAAAGACTTCCATCGTTTGCCACCTCGCCCGAATCAGTGGTAACGCGATTGTTCGCATCAATAATCATGAACACACCGATGTGCAAGAGTACGCGATACATTTCTATAGAAAAAAAAAAAAAAAAAAAAAAAAAAAAAAAAAAAAAAAAAAAAAAAAAAAAAAAAAAAAAAAAAAAAAAAAAAAAAAAAAAAAAAAAAAAAAAAAAAAAAAAAAAAAAAAAAAAATCGATCGTGCTACTGGAATTAGTTTGTTTCAGGTATATGGGGTCATATGTTGGTGATTAGCAGTGGTCGCTTAGGTGTTTCGTGAAGGGGCGTTAGTAAAAGCTGTACGAAATGGTAGCTGGGTGATTCTGGACGAGTTGAATTTAGCTCCAACCGATATCATAGAAGCTCTGAACAGGGTCAGTTTAATTTTACTTTGTCCCCCACGAACTCATCTTAGCATGTGTGCGCTGCTTTGCGCTAAACTGGCTGTTTGTGCTCCAGTGAGTTGCCTTCAGAACTCGTGATCACTCGCGTTGTAACGCTACAGCGGGCATCGTCGCGCTACCTCTGCAGTAGCGCTGCAGCGCTGTGTACGGGATGTAACCATAGACAGGTATCGATTGGCGCAGGCCGCTTGTGTTTGGATAAGTAGGAGAAAGACAGGCTGTACTGATTGCTATTCTCCTATATTGTCCGCATACTTGCCCACACAATCTGGTACTCTTCTATTCTCTTATATACTCCCGAAACACTAGCGGCCAGCGCCGATCGACACCCGGATGTGTTCCCGTCTATAGCTTCAGAGTCCTATTGCGACGTAGTGCGATAGCGCGCGTCATCGCGAAGTCTGAGCGCAGGCTTCGCGATGACGGATGACAAGTGTGGATGAGGTAGTCTTCTGTTTTCAATCAAAATTACATCCTTTTTTAGCTTTTGGACGATAACCGCGAACTTTACGTCCCGGAAACGAATGCAGTAATCAAAGCACATCCAAGGTTCCGACTCTTTGCAACCCAGAACCCTGCTGGAAGTTATGGTGGCCGAAAACGTCTTTCACGGGCTCTAATGTCTCGATTCGTTGTGCTACGCTTCAACAACATTCCTCTGGATGAACTCTCGTCAATGGTAGGTAGCTACCATTGTGTAGAGAAGAAGCGATTTTTACAAAACTTCTACAATTTCCTAGGTTTGCGTACGATGCGGCGTTCACTCATCTGCTGCAACTAAAATGATCAATGTTCTCTCAAAACTCCGAGTGAAACGATCCATTACTGGTGTTTTCTCTGCTAAAGATGGTTAGTTTTTTTCTTGTTAGAATGCTTTGTTCTGCTAGGAGAGAGTCATCCCCAACTTGCAAAAATCACATCGAGCGCTAGACGACTGCGGTCGGGGTAAGGTTAGATGGAATACTTCCTGCGTTGGCACGCATCATCACTCATCGCGCACGGCAAAAGCTTTGGAGTTGTGAGTGGGGGTCTTGTAATAGGAAAGAAGCATGTCACATTAATGGAGACATAATTTCTTAGGATGCGTTTATACTTTGCGGCAGCGTCAGCGACTAGGAACATATAGATATCGATCTAGCGTCTACCAGCTTGCGCCAGCGTCTAATAGTATCCACCAGCGTCTCGAGTGGCCAGGGATGATAGGTATCGATCTAGCGTCTGCCAGCGTGCACAGCGTCTACCAGCGTTCGGGCGATAGGAGGGCAGTAGAAATGTGGTAGAGAGTATGGTGGGATAGGAGGTACCAGCTGTCTGTTACCTTCCCATCGCGTCCTGTTCCCGGACGCTGGTAGAAGCTGGTGGGCGCTGGTAGACGCTGGCATACGCTGGTAGAGGCTGAAGGACCCTGGCAGACGCTAGATTAATATCTATTCTTTCCTAGTCGCTGATGCAGCCGGACGCTTGGAATGCTGGTGGACGAAACCAGCGTTCCGAGCGTCCGGCTAGCATGGCTGAATGCAGTCTTACTCGGTCGAGTTGAAGCGCACGAGTAAGACAGGCGGAAGAGGGGGGGGGGGGCTAGAAAGAACATTGTCTATCTACTGTTTTCGGCGATGTATTTCATGAGGCTATACGCTTAAGTAGTTTTTTCCAGGTCTTATGACACTTCGCGATGTATTTAGATGGGCGAAACGACTTGCCACGGATTCATCATGTGACGACTGGCTTCAGGTATGATTTCCTTAATGATGACAATCTTAAGCTTTTATGTCACTGTCACGCTTTTCAGGTGCTCGCGAATCATGGCTACTTTCTGCTAGCTGGGCGCTGCCGAAACCAGAAAGATGCCACTTCAGTGGTTGAGACTCTTGAGGCGGAGTTGAAGAGAAAGATAGATGTACTGCCTCAGTTTTTGTTTCCATTCTTGCCGCTTTAAGCTTTATTTCTCTCTAAAAAATTGAAAACTGAGCACGGTTCTTTCGTCTAGTACTTGTATTTCAGCCGTCGAAATTATTCGCAGTGAATTCGCCTTACATGCCAAAGCATGCGGATACGAAGGGTATTGTTATGACTCTTGGTATGAGACGAATGCTAGTCATGACCGAACAGGTAAGGTGCACCGGTACCTCCTAATTAGAAAAATGCTGGAGCCTGGAAAGCCCACATATAATGGTCTCTGAGAGCTCGTGACTCTTCCTCTATCTTAAGGCGTGGCTCCGCAACGAAGCTGTGCTTATGGTTGGCGAAACTGGTGGTGGCAAAACAAGTTTGGCACAAGCAGTTGGCAAAGGCGCTTTGTTGACCATAAATTGTCACGAAAGAACGGAAACCGCAGATTTGTTGGGAAGATTACGTCCAAGAGACAACGGAGGGTACGTTTTGCTGTAGTAGTACTCAGTTACCAATTATTACTTAGCAGTCGGATTGTTTTCCATAATTTTCTGAGAATTTCAGAATCCTCCTTCTTCATCCGCTCATTGCCTAGTCCGTTAATAAGGGAGGTCTTTCAGGTCGTAGCCCGCTTTTTGGAAATGATTCGTTGCTTGTTGTAGGGGTCCATACACAAAAATGGGTTACATTGCTATGCGTTTCTGGGGAGGTCAAAAGCTGAGTGAAAATAATTTGACAAGAATGGGCTATTTTAACTATCTTAATG